TCAGGGGCAGAGTACTTCCCTAACATGTACAAGGCCCTCGTTTTAAACTCTAGCACTGAAAAAAAAAAAAAAAGGAAGGAAGGAAGAATTAACTTTTCCTTATATCACAATGAGCAACTAGAGAGTCCCAGGGGACTTTCCAGCCCTTCCCAGGGTGACAAGGGACCTCCGCACAGCCTTGATCTGCCACCACAGCAAATCCCCAACTGCTGGAGAAGGTATCAGCCGTGGAAGCTCTTCCTCTTGGGCCAGTGGGGACGCATTAGTTCCCACCTCTGCTTCCTCCCTGTCCGAAAGCTACTGGGAAGTGTCACAAAGCTGTGGTGGGTACATTGATGTCACCATAACAAATGGACCCTTCTTATCCTGTACCCGAGTGTCCACAGATAATTCTCAAAGATTTCCAGCGAGACAGTGTCTCCTTAGCTCTTCATGGAACATCCCACTGATGGACAAAAGCCATTCAAAGACCTGACACTCACCTCAGCTACTGTACCATTCGTTATCCACGACCCTGTAAAATCAGGTGGCTCCCTCCAGAGCTTTGGCCCAAGCCTAGAAAAGAAAAGGACACTCAATCACCTCAAATCCCTGTCTGTCCCAGATCCCCTTTGAGAAATACAGCCATAAATATGCGTGGCTCTGTTGACATTCACACAGGAAACAACACTGCCGTTGCCTATTTTACTACCAATCGGCCAGAAAAACAGCAGCAGGAATTTTCTGGAACACTCCAGGCTAAGCTGAGGGCTCCCTTCTCTCCCAAGGCAGAGGCAGCTCTCTCTGGGTCCCCTTGCCAAGCCAGCCACAGGACAGACCCCAGACAAGGCCACTGGGGCGAGGGCCTGAAGCACACCCCGCAAAGACGGACAGAACGAGCGGGGGACGCAGCCCTGCCTCCCGCCCCTCCCCCACCCAGGTTAGAAATATCAACAACATTCCTGCGCACTGTAATCAAATACTTACGCAAAAAGCTATGGAATGTGCAATAATTTGTCAGGCATCCTTTTAGCCCAGTCCACTGGAGCAAACTCTGCCCGGGCCCCTTGACCCTCGGAGAGGGGGCCCTTTGACCTCACTTGGACCTCTTTTATGCGAAGCTCCACTCTGACCAGATGGCTAAACTATCAAAGGATTTTATGAGTCAAAACTACTGCTTTCTCAGTTCACAAGTTGCGGATTTCTGTCCGTGTTTGTGTGAATGATCTAGGAGAAGCTTTAAATTAAAAACACAAGAGGGGGCCCGCAGCTGGGGCTCGCCTCCCGCATTGTGTGAGCGCGGGGGTTAGCGCTGTTTGCAGAGAAAACAGCTACACACAGATGAGGACAATTTCAGCTAAATATTTAAAATAGCCATCAGGAGAGGAATGATTGATTGATTTCCCCCACCCCCTCCTCTCCTTGCACCCATGATCTTTTGCTGAGCTTTAGGCAAACACCATTCTTGTGCAAATCACAACTGCACCCTTCTTTCCTTTTAGCTGAGACTGGTGGGCAAAAATATAAAAATAATAAGATTGGGGCTGAGAGTTGGCTCCGCAGATAAAGGAGCCTGCTGCCAAGTCTGATGACCCGAGTTCGAACCCCAGGACCCACAGGGTGGACTGAGAGAACCAGCTCCCGAAAGTTGTCCTCTGGCCACACACACACACACACACACGCACACGCACACGCACACGCACACGCACACACACACACATCATAAATAAAATCTGATATAAAGTATGTCACACGGGGAGAGACGGCTCAGAGGGTCAGAGCACTTGGTGCTTTTGTAGAGGACTCAGGTTTGAGTCCCAGCACCCACACAATGGCTCACAAACATTTGTAACTCCAGTTCTGGGGGATCTGATGCACTCTTCTGGCTTCTGGGGCACCAGACATGCGTGAGATACATGACAAACACACACACATATGTATGTATATATGTATGTATGTATGTATGTATGTATATTATATATACATATATAGAGTACAGTTTTTATTTAAAACCTTTTCTGGTAAAGGAAAAAAAAAGGTTTCTGGTCCTGTTCAAGATCTGAGGTTTTGTATGTGTGTGTGTATGTGTGTGTGTGTGTGTGTGTGTGTGTGTGTGTGTGTGTGTGTGCAAACGCTCTTGCTTGCACTTGCGCATATGCACAGAGTGGGATTGGGGACAGTATGCACACGTGTGGACAAGAGGACAACGTCTGGTGTGTTCCTCTGTCACTTCTCCACGTTATTGTTGTTGTTATTTTGAGACAGTCTCGCTATGTAGCCCTGGCTGTCCTGGATCTCACTCTGTAGACCAGGCTGGCCTCAGATTCCCAGAGATGGGCCTGCTTCTGCCTCCAAAGTACTGGGATCATAGGTGAGCCACCATGCCCGGCCATCCATCTTGCTTTTTGAGATAGGGTCTCTCTCTAAACTTGGAGCTTACCAACTGTGGTTTCTAGTTTTATGTCAACTTGATACAAGCTGGAGCTATTTGAGAAGAGGGAACCTCAACTGAGAAAATGCCTCTGCCAGCTTGGTCTGTGAGGAAGCCTCTGGTGCATTTACTTAGTTAATAAGGAATGTGAGAAGGCTGGGCCCACTTGGGGGCGGTGCTACCCCTGGGCAGGTGGCCCTGGATGGTAAAAGGAAACAGGCTGAGCAAGCCACGGAGAGCAGGCCACAGAGAGCAAGCTACAGAGAGCAGGCCACAGAGAGCAAGCCACAGAGAGCAGGCCACAGAGAGCAAGCCACAGAAAGCAGGCCACGGAGAGCAGGCTACAGAGAGAGGCCACAGAAAGCAAGCCTGTGAGCAGCCGCAGCTCCTGCCACCCGGTTCTGACCCCAGCCCTGCCTCTCCAGCCCTGTTCCTCAAAGGCAAATGTCACCGACTTCACTGTACTCTTGAGGAACTATGAAAACAGGGACCGGAGAACTTCCTAACAGTTCTAATTCATCCAAGGTTTGTCCAGCCTTTGATTTCAGAGCTGACTCGGGGTCTCATGTTCTCCTGAATGCATTAGAGAAGCCCCTTAGGGGTCAGATGGGATTCCCAGGTCCTGGAATCAGTTAGAAGCGGAGAACACACACATGTGATGTGGCAGAGGAAGACCCTTTTCTGGCTCTCAGCCTGTGACCTGGGGACAGGACAGTGCTAACTGCAGGGGCATTGGCCTCGTGGGTTGTAGTTTCAGAAGGATCTGTGATTGGTTCCCGTTCTACTGTTATCATGAAATGCTTCTCGGTGTGTTTTTTGTTTGTTTGTTTGTTTTGTTTTGTTCCCCCACCCCCACCCCAGAGCTGAGGATGGAACCCAGGGCCTTGCGCTTGCTAGGCAAGCGTTCTACCACTGAGCTAAATCCCCAACCCCACTCGGTGTGTTTTTGAGGGTGGTGTATGTGGGTGGGGTGTGTGTGAGTGGGGATAGGGGGTGAGTATGAATGTGTATATATGTGTGTGTGCTCCTGTGGGGGTGTATGCATGAGTATGTGTGTGTGTATGTGTGTGTATGTTCCTGTGGGGATGTGTGCATACATGAGTACGTGTGTGCGTGCGTGCATGCGTGCGTGCGTGCGTGCGTGCGTGCGTGTGTGTTGGGGGGTACATGAATACATTTCAGAGGTGATAAAACTGAGATGTGAAGGCTCTAATAGTTGACCTTTATCAAGCACTTCCCAGATGCCAGTCATATTTTTACAAGAGGCTTCTTTTTGTTTTTTGTTTTTTGTTTTTTTTTGTTTGTTTGTTTTGTTTTTTTTTCAGTTTTTTTGAGACAGGGTTTCTATATGTAGCTTTGGCGCTTTTCCTGGAACTCACTCTGTAGACCAGGCTAGCCTTGAACTTACAGAGATCCGCCTGCCTCTGCCTTCCAAGTGCTGGGATTAAAGGTGTGTGCCACCACCGCCCGGCTCAAGAGGCTTCTTTTTTAAGATTCACTATTTATTTTTATTTTATACTTATTTGTGTTATGCCTGCATGTACGTCTGTGCACCTTGCACATGCCTGTGACATCAGAAGAGGATGTCAGAGCCCCTGGGACCGGAGTTAGATCCATTGTGAGCCAGTGTGTAGGGGCTGTGACTCTAACTCCAGTCCTGTGGAAGAGCAACCAGTGCTCTTAACCATTGAG